GATTGGTTGTTTGATGTTATTTTTTATATTTATATTGTCTTTTTAGCCTAAATATGAAACTGAGTTTTTGAAAATCTAAAAGTTGAAAACAATCCGTGTGATTGCTGTATATGTCCATATACATGCAAAATGAGGCAGCAAATCTGTGTAAATTATGGACAATCCCTTCATGTTCACATTATTTATAGACTGTATCTAAAAATGTCAAAGATATTTTAAATGTAAATTAAGGTATGAAATAATACAATATAAAACACAATGGTTTAAATTATATTATTTTTATTTTTTAAATTATATTATTGTATAGGTCATCAAATCAGTGTCATTTGAGTCTGACAAATAGATTACCTGTAGTGATTTTTAAGGTCCAGCAGATGTCAGTATTCAGTGACACAGTATCGACACGTATCGTACGGTTTGGTAATTTGTCGAAACGACACATGATGCCTCATCGACCCATCACTAATGATCATTATTAAAAGCACAATGCTTTAAAAWTTACTTTCATATGGATCACCTGCCCATAAAGCTTAGACTGTGGCGTGGAGCAGGAGTGAACCCAGGTTTGGACGAAGGATTAGTAAAACCAAAAAATGTTAAAATAAAACGAAGCTGACTGGGCAGCAAAAAGAACCAAAAACACATGGCGCCACGGGGAAACACAGGACAAAGAGACTGTAGGCAAAGTCATGCAATGATCCAGCAAAGGTGTGAACAAATGAGAGAATAAATACTAGCAGAGGGAAGGGAGGATAATGGGCAACAGCTGAGGAAAGAACTAATTTGAAACTACTGACAGGTGTGTGACAGAGGAGGAAATGACAGGTAAACAGCTGAGAAGATGAAGGTGTAATGACAATGAGGGAACACGAGAGAGGAAGAAGACAAGACAACAGAACACACATCCTGTGTGTTCCACACAGTGACAAAGTTTGCCTTTGTATTGTATTGTAATAACCTCTTTTGTCATTTAGATCGACCAAGACTTCATTCTGGAATTTGGAGAAGATACAGCTTCCAAGTTTTTGGAGAGGTCAGTGCCAACTTTTTAGTGATGCTTCATCAAATATGCCCATTTTTATATTTTAATTTTTTTAAAACTTATTGCATAAAAGTATTAACTCTGTATTGGAATACTTCTGTCGTTATGTTACATAATTTGTAAACAAGGTGGTATATTGTAAGCAGTGATTATTTTCAGTGTGGTGTTTTTATTTTGATGACTGATGTACTTGTTAATCATTGTTATCTGTGCTAATTTAATCTTAAAAAATGTGTTCTAGGTGGCCAACTGTTTTCAAGCAAAAAGTCATCCAGCTGAGCAAGACTCTCCCTACTTCAGCTGAGCTTGAAGAACTGATCTACTGGGCTGAAGGCGCATCAGATGAGGAGGATTTGGAGCAGACCCTTAACTCTGGTATGTATAGGACATAAGTCCATCTTTCAAATTTAATAATGATCATGGATAGTGACTAATTTTCTAATTTAATATTTCCTTTCATTTCTGTTCCCACAGGCTGGGACAGTGATCTTGCTTCCATCATTCTCCTGCTCCACCTGATTCCTCCTGCCTGTCAAGGTCGCAAAAGACCTGGCAAGGTTTCTGCATCCCAAGCTGAGAAGCACCTTGTGGTCTTCAAAAAGGTTTGTTTTGTGTTTTTCACAGCAACTGTTGTTTTATCCACCCACCTCAAGCCCATGATTTTTTTCATATATAGAATTGATTCTCGTTTTAAAATGTTCACAAAGAGGATTAGTTTCATGTAATTATTAAGATTTACATTTTGTTTTATTGCCATGCATGTTTTCTTGTGTGTGGGTGGGGGTGTTGGGGAAGGAGAATTGATTTTAATTTTGATGCAGAAAAATTYTYATTAATTTTTGATGGAAGTTTTGTAACSTCACTTACTATGCCTTTTTTTCTTCCTTCCTTTTTTATACTCAGAGTGGAACAAGCATTCAGGAACATGTCGATGCCATCAGCTCCTCTCTCTCTCTCTCTCTCTTTTTTTCTTCCTTCCTTTTTTATACTCAGAGTGGAACAAGCATTCAGGAACATGTCGATGCCATCAGCTCCTCTACGCAACCTTATCTACTTGCTGTTGGGACAAAGAGGAGCACCATCCACAGCTTTTTCATTGTTCTGGACAAGCAGGTCATACCATGCAACTCAACCATTTCACTTGGAGCTTTTGATGAACTTTTTAAGGCCCATTTTGTGTTTGGCACATTTTATAATCAAATGCTCCACAACATGTARGTCTTCATACAAACAACCATCTACAACATAGATATTGGAAAAGTTCATGAGACGCCACGTGTTGCAGAGATACGGGCTAGGCTACTTAACTAAGCAAACAATGAATCAACCTGGATTTGGCAACAAGTTTGCCCATCAGTGTGATCCCTTTTATGGTGGAATATTTTTCAATGTTGCTCTTTGTATTTTGATACTATTTTGATATTTGTATTTTTCCCAATATTTAGGTACTATGGGGAGAATTTGTTTTGTTTGTCAGAAGCATTTTGTCAGTACCAACGTGCTTGTGAGGCATATGCGATTGAGTCACGGTTTCTGTCCTGGTAAGTCTCTTCGACTAAAATGTGCTCAGGGAGGTTGTTGCCATATTTTTGGTACTTTTTCGGGATTCAGGAAACATTTAGACACTAAACATGTAGAGCAAATTGAACATGAAAATGAAACCGGTGACAGTGTGGACATTGATTTTGTTACAGATATGCCATCTCAAGATTTTGTAGAGTCAAGTAGTTCAGAACTCCCAACTGTATCAAACAACTGTACTCGTGACACATGCGCTTCTGCTATTGCACAGCTTCAGGTTGCTGGTGTTAGCCAGTGRACTTTAAACAATTTTGTAACATCTATGGAAGAAGTTGTATTAGATATACAGAGTCAAGCTAAAGATGCAGCTTTGAAATGTTTGTCTTCTCAAGATGTTCGTGTCCAAGCCAAAATTGAACAAAGCTTTGAAAATCTGGAAAACCCATTTACTTTGTTGAATACTGAGTCGAAAAGAAATGCATATTTTAAACAAAAGTGGAAAATTGTTGAGCCAGTTGAAAAAGTTCTTGGTTCTCGGTTGGAAAATAGAAGAAATAGAAATACTGGAACTTACGATCAAGTTGTTGTTACTGACAAATTTTCATATGTTCCCATTCTAAACACACTGCAGTCTATTCTTACAAATCCAAATACAAGTAGCATGTTTTCATCTAACCACATTTCTAAGGATGGTTTGTATGTAGATATAGAAGATGGTCTATATATGAAGAACCATCCTCTTTTTTCAAATGAGAAGTATGCATTGCAAATTCAGTTATTTTACGACGACTTTGAGACTGCTAATCCTTTAGGATCCAAAAGAGGTATCCATAAATTGGGAGGGATATATTTTACATTGAGAAATTTTCCACCAAAATTTAACTCAAATTTAGCAAATATTCACTTATGTGCACTTTTTCACACCCAGGACATTAAAACGTATGGGTTTGACAATATACTTGAACCACTCATTAAAGACTTGAAAGTGCTTGAAACTGATGGCGTTAAAGTCCCCACATTGAAAAGTCCTATTCGTGGTACTATTGTGCAAGTAACTGGGGATAATCTTGGTCTACATGGGATGCTTGGGTTTGTGGAATCATTCAGTGCTCGTTATTGTTGTCGTTTTTGTGTACTAGAAAAGATAGACTTTCAAACTGTGTTTAGCGAAAATGATGAAAGTGTGACATTACGAACAAGAAACATGCATGCTGAACATTGTCTTAACTTGCAAACAAATCCAACGCTACCACATTCATATGGTGTTAAACGTACAAGTTCATTGAATTCTTTGTTATATTTCCACACTTCTCAGAATTTTTCTGTTGATGTCATGCATGACATTTTAGAAGGCGTTGCACAGTTTGAAGTGAAACTTGTGTTGGAATATATCCAGCAGAACTTTTTAACAGCCAAAGAGCTGGCTAGTCGAATACACTCGTTTAATTATGGGTTCAGTGAGAGAAAGAATCGCCCACCTGCAGTTAAGTTGTTTGATGGAAGTAAGGACTTAGGACTGAATGCCATACAGTCTTGGTGCTTGTTGCGCAACATGCCATTGATATTTGGGGATAAAGTACAGGCAGATGATGAGTACTGGTGCCTCTTAATTTTGCTGCTCCAAATTGTGAATATTGTATTTTCACCTGTCATCACAGACGGTATGACCATCTTTCTGAAACACATTATTGTTGAGCATCATCAGCTTTTTAAGCGCCTGTTTCCTGACAGAAATCTCTTGCCCAAGCATCATTTTATGATCCATTATCCTCGATGTATAAAGCAGATCGGTCCACTTCTACATGTGTGGTGTATGCGTTACGAAGCAAAACATAATTTTTTCAAGACTCAACTTAAGAGCTTTAAAAATATCACAAAGACATTGGTTAAAAAGCACCAAAGATACATGGCTTTACATTGGGAATCCTTCAGCCAATGCAGGTTGACCATTGGTCCAGGAAAGAGTGTTGAACTTGGAGAGTTGAAGGAAGGAACTGATATTGCTTCAAAACTAGGTAGTGGACTATGTGAAAATGTTCTCTCAGTAAAATGGGTGAAGCACTATGGCACAGAGTATCGACCTGGCCTAATAGTGTGTGTTGGTGTATCTAATGAGATGCCATTATTCTGTAAAGTGAAAATGGTTATTGTGAAAGATGAAAAAGTTATAGTTGTGTGTTCTGGTGTAGAAACCATCTGTTTTGAGCAACATTACAATGCATTCAAAATTTTGTTAAAACCTTCATATGCACTCAAGGTGCTTGATGTTCAAGAGTTGCTTTACTTCAAACCATTGGATGTGCAGATGTCATACAGTACCCAAGATTCCTCCCTTTACATTATTCCATATTGCCATTTTATGCAACCTTGATCTGTGGTTGTAGCCATTAGAAATTTATTGGTGTTGTCCAAATTGAAGATTTAGACATTTTTTAAATGTCAAATTGGAGTTGGAGCAAGATAAAGTAATYGGGCTGTGATGTATTAATTTAATTTTTAAAACCCAGTGTTATGATTTGGGAATGTGTTTACACAAATTTTAGTGTCTGGCCTTTTTTTTTCTGGCAATATTGCTGCTTTCTGAATATTGTGTTAATGCTAAAAGATTGTTGATGGCATTTAAATGATGTTTGGGTTTAAACTAAGGACAAATATTTGTTATCTGACTCTCGTCATCCAAACACAAATAACCTGCATTGCAACTGGAGCAGTAACAAAAATATATATACTAATTTGGTCACAGTTAACCTTTAAACGTCTAATTTGACAAACTTTTCTGTCATTCACGGCAAAAAATTGTACTTGACCTTGTCAGTCACTAAATAATTTTTTTTGCTACAGATAGGGATATTTGTCCTTAAGTTAAATATTGCAMGCTRATTGTAAAGTTCTGTAAATATTGTTCAGTTTTTAGAGGAATGGTTAAAGCTGTCACTGAATTCACAATGTCTTACAAAACATTTTTAGTTTATCTTTGTAAGCAAATTGAAAATGTGAAGCTTTTATGTGCATTGCTAAACCTAATAAACTGGTAAGGCATTGAAGATTGTTTTTTTTTTCTTTTGTTTCACTACAAACATTGCAATTTTAATTTAACACTGAGCCAATTTCAACACTGAGCCAGTGTTTATATATTCCTCTCTGGAGCAGAGTTAAACTGACACTGACTTCAGTGTTGAATTTTCAGAGTTAATTTTACTCTGTTTAGAGTTAAATTGAGTTATAGAGTAAACGTATAACAACACCAACAGTGTAATTATACTTTTACTCTATAACTCAATTTAACTCTAAACAGAGTAAAATTAACTCTGAAAATTCAACACTGAAGTCAGTGTCAGTTTAACTCTGCTCCAGAGAGGAATATATAAACACTGGCTCAGTGTTGAAATTGACTCTTTAAGTGTTAAATTAACACTGCTGTTTTTACTGTGCANACACACACACACACACACACACACACACACACACACACACACACACACACAGTATAAAAAAGAGAAAGTTTTTTTCATGATGACGTCACTGTGTTGATATGGGAGGCAGCTTTAGGAGTTAAAAGATGGGAGGCAGATGAACTCCTCGTGTTCCTCACATCCTGAGCTGTAGTTCTCACCTGGATGACTTCAGGTTTGAGGATGGGGATGTTAGAGGTTTGTGTTCAGTGATGATGCTGTAACAAACTGGAAGCTGACTTGCTGTTTATTGATGCTTCAGGTGAAGAAATCTGTAAAAAGGCTGAGGGGAACAGTGAAATGAAACAATGATAAACTCAACACAGGTTTCATATTTTATTCTGAGCTTGTACTTTGATACTAAGATGTACAAATACCTGATCTTTGTGATTGTTTTGTGTTTGTATGTTCTGATAGTTGGCTCTAATGTTGTTCTGATTGTGGTTATCTGCATTAACAGGACTTTACATGAACCTATGTACATGTTTCTGTGCATTTTGTTTGCAAACCAACTTTTAGGTAGTACCAGCTTCTTTCCATTCCTGCTGATCCAGATTRTGTCTGATGATCACATTATTTTACCTCCACTCTGTTTCCTGCAGATTTACTGTGTTCACACTTATCTTTCTGTAGAATTCTTTAACTTAACCATCATGTCTTATGACAGGTATCTGGCCATTTGTTATCCTTTACAATACAACACACTCATGACTTTTAAGAAAGTTGTAGTTTTGATTGTAACAGAGTGGTTAGTGTCAGTTTGTGGAGTTAATATTTACACATCGATGAGTTTCTCTCTGCAGCTGTGTGGAAACATCATTAACAGAGTTTACTGTAATAATTACTCTGTTGTTAAACTGGCCTGCTCTGACACCACAGCCAATAATGTTTATGGACTTTTCAGCACCACAGTGGGGGTTGTTCTCCCAGTCCTTTTAATTCTCTACACATATTTGAGGATCTTCAAAGTGTGTTTCTCTGGATCCAAACAGACCCGACAGAAAGCTGTCAGCACCTGCACGCCTCACCTGGCCTCTCTCATCAACTTCTTCTTCGGGGTTTGTTTTGATGTGTTACAGAGCAGGTTTGACACGACTAATGTTCCACATGTTATCAGAATATTTTTATCTGTGTACTATCTGACGTGTCAGCCGCTCTTTAACCCTTTAATCTACGGCCTGAAGTTGTCTAAAATACGCAGCCTGTGGAAAAGACTGTTTTCTGTCAGCTGGAGATGAAGTGATCAGATTTTAATGTTGAAGGATTTTCAGTGCTCGGGGGAATTAAACTAAGCTTTAGAACACAAATGCTTCATGGTTTTTTTTCACACTGGTGGTGAAACATTGTAGCTTGTTGAAAAGTAAAGTTGGTCATTTTGATCAAGGTTCTTTTTTTATTGATTTTTTTTACAAACCACAAAAAAGAACAGACTTACAAAAACACAAAACAAAACACCCATCCATCCATCCATCCATCCATC